TTTGAAATAAATTTACTTACCATCTCCAATTTACAACAATGAAATAAAAGAGCCTTTTTTGGAAATTGCATGTGTACATCATGGGTGCAGTTGCTATTCATTCAGTTTGGAACTCCATACAACTCAAATGATTCTAATGCTGTGCATCGACCATGTACTATTTGATGTTGCTTGATGATACGGAGGTACTATACTTGCATAAACAAACTTACATACATTCATACAAATAAGTACTATGTATGTATATTACAAGTACGTATGTATACGTATTAAACTTTTTTTTCGTTTTATGAACTATTGAAAAATTGTGTGCACAAATATGATGACATGTACAACACACTTCGTTCAATTCAATCGACATTTACCACTGCATGCCATGCACATCTCTGTAAGCATAAGTCTGTATTAGTTTCATCTCCATGTATCCTTTTGTTATAACTTCAGTTAACGTAACTTACAGGACATTGTGCATGAGAAAAAGGATTTTTTTCGAAAAAAAAAAAATGTCAGAAAAAAGTTCCTACAACATTAAACTAAACATTATTGTTAACGAATATTTATGCAGTCTATTTTTAGAGTATTAGTTGCTGTTATCGCAACATACATCTTTCCTTATACATGTCTATGAAAGTCTGTATCCTTATTGAAAGAGTGCAGTTTTTTTTGTAAAATTTTCATGGAATTTAAAATTTGCAATTTAAAAGATATTTAGAAATTAAGTTACTTTGTAGTTTATTGAATATTAGAATATTTTATTGTATAATTGTAATAAAACATGAAATGTTTTGGTCGTTCTTAAGCTAAATCACAATTTAGCTTTATTATTACACAATATGATCAAAAAATTCTTTTGAAATATTATAATTAATAGATATTGGCTTCAATTTCATCACCGTATTGAAATAATAATTGCCAATTAGTAAGTAGTCAACTAATTACTCTTCAATGTAAGTATTTGCTCAAAGAAAAAATTATTGACAGTTTATTATACCCACCATCAAAAAAGATGTGGGTATATTCCGATTGTCCATCCGTCTTCCCCCTGGGGGTATGTTACCTTGGTGAAATCTCCACCTTGGTGTTATTGCAATATCCCGAGGAAAAGAGGTGCTACCAATATCTCTAGTCTGCCGGGACTATAAACTGGTGATGATCAAATGTATCCTCGGCCTTTCCTTGGAATGATTTGACATGGGGTCTAACCAGAGTACCATATAATCTGGCACTACGGGTGGCCGGTTGTCCACAGGACCTAGTCTTGACCGGTCAATTGGTTGAGGTTCCTTCGGGATCCACGTGGTGTCTGTGGTTTATACCCAAATTTGCGGGGAGAGAATGTTGATTCAGAGACTGATATATCCAAATGCCAAATATGTCTGGATTCTCTCTCCGGTGCTGTTGGATTCCTGAACCCGTTGAGTATCTTCTACTCTTCGCGTAGTAGGGCGCCAGTATATGTTGGGGAATTTTCAGGTTGACACTTGGTAGTTGCCTGTCATTCCGTAGATCGTTCTTTATGGTCTGAGTATGGAACTGATGTAATTGGTGAACGATCGGGATCGGGATCCTCTGCCCGACAGGATTGATTTAGTAGACCTTTTTCTTCAGGAAAGTTCTCGGTGCTGTTGCCATCTCAAATTCGTATTGTTTCCTGCTACGCGACTTTTGGTTGAGGTCCACCACTCAACTTGTCGGTGCAATTATTGAGTTTAAATTAACTTTGGAAATTCCTACATCCTTTGACACATTATCTGACATACAGAGGAATCCTGATTTATTGGCTGGGTATTTCGGACTACCAAATACGTCTCTAGGTGCTGTTGCCGAAAAAACAAAGCCATCTCAGTAGTGTGGTTGCTCGGGCTTTAAGAGGTTAAGGAATACACTGGAATGGGCCATTTTTAATAATGCAATCTTTCATGGTCACCTTGCGGTATACCAGAAGATTGATTTCACCTATTGTTGGGGTTGCCGCCCCTTCTATTGACTTTAGACCAGTGATTGTTTTTTCCTTGTCGGGGTTTGTATTGGGAATGATCCCATGCTGCCTGTCATTCCGCTACTATGGCAAGAGATTAGATAACTCGAGTACTCCAGCAAAGTGCTTGTACATGGACCGGCTCAGCCATATACAAAAATTGACACCTGAGTCCTTCATTGATGAAAATAACCAGTTTAAAAGCTTGCAACTTGGTGGATTACATGAGTGTTATAAGTACATTTATGATTCCTGACTGTGGTCCAACATTTTTGATGCTACACAGAGCCTTTGAGGTTCTTATACCGAACAGGGAACAATGGACAAATCTGAATTGGTGGCAGGAACAGCTGATGAAGTATGGTTCACAGATGGTTCCAAACAGATAAATAGCAATACTGGAGCGGGAATCTATGACACAAATTTCCAAAGGCCCACCCTATGGGTAATTACCCCTCAATCTTTTAGGCAGAGGTGTATGCAATTATCATTTGCATTAGAGAATGTCTGAGAAGAAAGCTGAGAGGATTAAAGATATTTGTGATGTCGGATCAGGCGGCCCTTAAGGCTTTACTATCATATGAAATCAGGTTGGATGTCGTACTTGACAGTTTGACATTTGTAAATGAACTGGCCATGAAGGACACTCTGGCAATGAAAGAGCAGATTGTCTGGCAATCTTGGACCAGAACCATTCTTTGGTATCCCCAAAGTACACATTAGGAAAACATGCGATTCATATGTTGAATATGAATTTCTCCGCCACTGGGAGTCAATACCAGGACTCAGACAGGCAAAAATGTTTATAATACTAATGAAAGGTAAAACCCAAAAGTTACTGTCACTTGACAAGAATAACCTAAGATTACTAACGGGACTTTTTACCTGACACTGTGGACTTAGATACCACCAGCACATTCTTGGTAACAATTTGACGAGGCTATGCAGATTTTGCGAAATGCATAGTGAAACCTCTGAACATGTACTTTGTGACTGTTAGCCATTATGGTTTCTCAGAGTGAGTATTGTGAGAGGCGCTTTTCTTACGCCTAATGAAATATTCAATCTCTTACCGTCTAGAACATTAAGATTCTAGATACGTGAACTTAATCTCCAATGGTAAATCAAAAGGGCTGCACAAAAGATCTTAACTTGGATCGTAGTGCTTTGTGCCCTCTTAATCAATCAAGGCAGTAATCGGTGAAAAAGTTATTTTCTGGAGGGGACCTTATATGGAGGGACTGCCATCTGGTCATCATACATTTTGGTTCCCATAAAACTTGTTTATGTCGAGATTCATCGCCAGACAGTTATTTTTAAGCCAATATTTTTAAATTCAATTATGGACCCATCATCATGGCGGGTAGGGTCAATTACGGTACGATACTCTTAAAATTTGGTTCAAAGATTTCGGTTCCTATAAAATTTGGCGGTTTCGAATTATATTGCAGTACAATTATTTTTAAGCCACATATAAGCATTATAATCCTTTTTTGAAGGGATCGTTCTATAAGGATGTATGTTACATGATATTTGCTTGTCCAATAGGATAATTCTCGAACCAAGGACCTTATTCTTTTTCAGATATTTTATCCGATAGATTTACAATCCATTCATCTCTTGGTAGAATACGAATCTGGAAAGTCGAATGTTCGGTGTCTCAAAATTGAGCTCCTTACATGTTTTGAAATGGCTCCAAGGGATAACTGATTGATCATTTGTAAAATTTTGCAGATTTTATTTACTATTTTAGAGATAAAGTCATCAAGTCTAACCTAGATTGAAATCTCAGTACTCAACTCTATATTGTGTCAATTTTTCATAAATATCAGATCAGAACTTTTAAAAATATCATCAGGAACACCCTAATGTATATAGTTTTCGATTCGAGAAAATACTAAAGCACTGAATTATCCATGTCTGCATACTATGTACCTACTATTTAAAGAATATTTTGATTGAAGAAACGTTAAAATTACCATTTATTAAAACAATCAAAACAATTTAATTACAAATTTTTAATAACATTTTGTAAAAATCAACATGCATTATTAATAAAAATATTAACAAAAGTGTAATAAACGATTTTGTTAAACAACCAAAAGTATTATAGAAAAAAAGGAAAATTTTTGCTAAAGAAAAAGTAAAATTACAATGGAAACCACGCCTGTTGTACAATAAAAAGAAGGTGTTAAAAAAATGGAAAAAGAAACAAAATAAACCAGCGAAAAACGGCTAAAAATTGGATGAGGAAAATAAGAATAAACAAATAGAATTAAATGTGCTGAAGCCCATTTTTAAGGAAAGAGAATTAGAACAGAAATATAAACCTACCAACAAACCTTTAAAATAAGAAACAAAAAGAAGTAGTTGTTTTTTTTTTTGTATTTGTAAGATTTTATAAATTTCCCCTTTTTGGAAGACTTCCAGTTGCACTTTTTAATAAGATTTACTAAAAAAATAACGATTTTTATTAGTTGGGTTGGTAGTTTGTTTGAGCTAAAAAGAAACAACTATAAGGGGTTTGAGTGTGAAGAAGCAAAGAAAATGCGTTTTATTATGCAGTTGTAAAGCTAAATATAAAAAACTAACGAGTAACGAATTGTTTAATGTCAACAATTGACGTTGATTTTTCATGGTGGCGCTAAAGTAGCTCATGGACTCGTTTCAAAACAAACACACAAAGGCGTTGCTTCAAACCAAAAAAGAAAAAAAACTTAAACAAAAACAATTAACAGGCAACAACAATATGGTGTAGCAAAGCAACGAGTAGCATAACTGTTCAACACACTGTAAGCATATAACCAGCTCTGTCTTACTTTCATACTAGTATGAGTTGTTTGGAAAAAGAGATTTTACACGCAAGTCAGATTTTGTTTTTTTGTCTTTATTTTCTGTTTTTTTGTTTTGTTTTCTCTTCTTTCTGTTGTATAGTGTTGTACTCTTCTGTTGCATGGTGTATTTAGCGCTGTTGTTTGCTACAACCTGGCGACAACTTGCAACTAGTTTGTGCTCGAACGTTAAATCGCGCGCATCTAAGCAAGAGTAGGCACGCAAAAAACAAGTTTGAGTTTTCAACATCAACAACAAGAAATTCGAGAAAAAAGCAACAACAAAACACACACACACACACGCTCTCACATAAAACTCCAATTGGACTAACAACTTGACTCGGGCTGAGTGGTGGCGTTGAAAAGAATTCAAATTGGATTTACAAAGAACAGCAGACTTCCTATGAGAATCTTTTGCACCTTTAGAGAGAAAAAAAATACCGGAAGTTAAACGTAAAGTGAGCCTAGAAAAATAACGTAATTTTGAACACGTCTCAACGATGACAATTTAACACATTGATGGAAATAAATTTTATTGCCAACAAACAAAAAATTACCAACAACAACAAAAGCCGTCGGGTTAAAATTTGCGCTTAAAGAAAAAACGTTTTAAAAAAAAATTTCCGTGTAATTGTTATTTAAATTAATTTAATTACAAATTTTCCTCAAAATCCTTGACCTTGTCGTGTCTTTAAAAACAAAACTTTTAGCAAAAAAAAAAAGAGAGAACGTGCTACATACCTTCGTTATTTAAACACGTTCCTACCATTAGGATTGACCTTTTAAACGTCAAACAAGTGTCAAGTTATTAAAATAATTTACATTTTACATTGTCTGTCGTTGCCGCGCTCGCTGTCGTCTGTAGCGTCTTAATCTGTTTTTACTGTATCATTATCTGGTTCGTTCGTTCTTTCTCTGTCTGCTTTACTCTCTCACCCTTCTTCTTTTACACCGCTTGTCTACATACATAATTATTGTTGAAAAATGCAAAAACAAATTAAATTTTAAGGTCAACATTTTTTTCCATTTGTTTATTTCGCATTCTGGTCAAATGTTTATGCAAAACATTTATTATGTCAATTTAAAGTGACAGTTTTATTCTACTACAATATAAAAAAATATAAAAAAACAAAAGAAAAATCAACTATAATAAAAAGTGTCAAAGTTTTTAACCCAAAAATAATAAAAGTTCTTTTAAAATTATAATAATATAAAAAAACATTTCGCTTATCCCCAACAATATGTACTTTGTGTATATTTAAAAGATAAATAGTGTTGCCAGTTATAGGAAAAAAAAAACAACTGAAATTAAAATATGGCATCCTATCAAATTGATTGTGGATATCCGACGGCAAATCAGGTGAGTGTAATTAACATGTTTATAAATAGTTTTAGAACAATTATTGTGGAAAGTTTAAAGTTGTCAAAGTAAATAAGTTTTATTTTACATGATATTTTAAAGAAAATTTACAAAAATAAGTTTTAAAATTTCATACATATTTTTTGCAAATTTACAATTTTACATCCCTTAATCAAAAACTCCATAAAAAGTATTAAAAGAATCACAATCTTACTATTTCCCTACCGATATTACTGGTTTTAAATAAACGACGTTGTTTAGATCACTAACAGCTGATCATTGTTTACAATTTTTTATACAGGCTTAAACTTAATGTAAAGAAGATTGACAATCGTGCGTTCGCTCTCAAGTGCTGGTATAATAAAATATATGAAAATTAAAAATATTTTTTCACTTACTGTTGTGCTTCTCAACTTCTTATCCTATATCAAAAAAGTATCTCCTTGTTTTCACCCAAAAACTTTCGAATTAACCCAGCTAGCAATTTGAAGATTGTTGGATGATTAATCAACGAACTGAGTCCTCTTTGACTCCTTTTGATGACCTAAAAGTGATTAAAATACAATAACAAAATGTACAGCAATTACAAATTAATTTGTGATCATATTTCAAGCAATTGGAAGATCTAAAATTGTTTCCTATATATAATATGTTTTTGTTTGTAACGGAACAACTATTACACTTAAAAATTACTCAAAAATGAGTCGAAACTGATTAGAAAAGTTGCTCGTAAAAGACTCTTTTAGAGACTCTCTTGAGACGGTCTACTACACGCAGCTGAATCCTTCTATGAAGAACTCAGGCGACAATCTTTGTACATGGCTTTGCCGGTCCATGTACAAGCACTTTGCTAAAGTACTCGAGCTATCTAATATCTTGCTATAGGAGCCCAGTTGCGGAATGGCAGGCAGCATGGGATCATTCTCAATGCAAACCCTGACAAGAAAAAGCAATGACTAGTCTAAAGTCAATAGAAGGGGAGACTACCCCAACACCCTTCTGACGTCATAAAAGATTACATTATTTAAAATGCAATCCTCATCAAATAATGACCCATTCCAGTTCATTCTTTAACATTTTAAAGCCCGCGCAACCACACTACTGAGATGGCCCTGTTGATTCGGAAACAGCACCTGGAGACGTATTTGGTATTTCGAAATACACAGCCAATAAATCATGTATGTCGAGATAATGTGACAAAGGATGTAGGAATTTCCAAAGTCAATTCGATCCCAATAATTGCCCCGCCATGTTGAGTGGTGGGCCTCAACCATAAGTCGAGTAGCATGAAATAATACCATCCTATTGAGATGGCAACAGCATCGAGGACTTCCCTGAAGTAAAAGGCGTACTTACATCAGTTCCATTCACAGACCATAAAGAACGATTTACGAAATGACAGGCTACTACCAAGTGTCTACCTGAAAATTCCCCAACCTATACTGGCGTCCTATTACACGGAGTGTAAGAGATACACAACGGATTCAGGAATCCAGCATAAGTTGCTCTGTCACATCACCCAGTGACATCTGTTGAGTTGGCAACAGCACCGGAGAGAGAATCCAGATTCCAGAATCCTTTCGTGGATCCCGAAGGAATATCAACCAACTGACCAGCTAGGAGAAGTCCATCGGGCAACTGGCCATCCGTAGTGCCAGATTATATGGTGCTCTGGTTAGACCCCATGTCAAATCATTCCAAGTAAAGGCTGAGGATACATTTGACCATCACCGGTTTATAGTCCCGGCAGACTTGAGGCAGTGGTAGCTCTTCTTTTCCGCGGGATATTGCAATAACAGCAAGATGGACATTTCACCAAGGTACATTGCCCCCAGGGGGTTATTCGAAAGACAGTAACAAAATGTACAGCAATAATAAATAGATCATCCAGGCGTTCGAAATTTGTTTATACATTTTTTATTTAATTATATATCGCTCAGTCGGAAGATCAAAAACTGTTTTCTGTATTATTGTATTTGTTTGTTACATACATAAAAATTACCCAGAAAAGACTCAAAAATTACTAAAATATAATTCGAAAAGAACTCTAAAACGACCAGTAATTCGACTAAAAAGTGATCAAAAGAAGTGCTAATAAAAGACTCTTTTAGAAGAGTCGCGGCTAGGGTACTATTTTCCTCCGACGAAAAGATCATTTATGTTCAAAAAACGAGCTCATATATGATCATTTTATTCGCGCAGAAGAGTCATAAATGACTCGAATGTGATCAATTTTTTTTTTAAATTTCTAGCTGGGATGAGCCTACGGGGTACGTGACCTGACCTTAATAATCCCGAATGAGTGTTAAATGATTTTTTTATACTTTTTTGTTACTCTAACAAACTTTGGGTTTAAAAATAAGCTTTAAAATGTTATTTTTATACCTTTCACCTTCGTGAGAAGGGTATATATGTATATGTAAGTTTGTCAATACGTTTGTTATTTCCACAATATAATTTTTAAACCCTTTGAAATATATATTTTATGGATCCTTATACACAGAAAAAATTATCGGTAGTTTATTTTCAATTAACATGTTTTCCTCTTTCTTTAACTTTTATTTAAACAATTTTTTAATTGTCATAATTATCTCATTGTTTTGATCCTAAGTATACAAATTTGATTAAACTTTTAATTGAATCAAAAATTTTTAATTGGCTGAAAAAGTTTTTCCAGCCTACTTTTTTATTTTGGTTTTTTGTTTTGATATTTTATTTAAATAATTTCATTAATTATAACTGAAAATAATTCTCAAATAGTCAATAATATTTTAGGCATAAGAAGTTGAAGTTTCATAAATATTTTAAAATTTATAAATCACTTTCTTTGTTCAAATGTGACAAAAAAGAGATATTTTTGAGAGTGCTTAACGCATTGTTAAAGGTAAAGGAATCCTTTAATGTTGTAAGCATTCAATTAATGCTTTTATTGTTTCAGTCATCGACTTTATTGATTTTTAATACATTTTTAACCAAACTGTTCAATTTATTTGATTAATAAACTAATTAAAATGTAAGTTTTATTTTATTAAATATTTGATTTATCCAATTAATGAATTAACTAATATTAAATTTTGAATTTAATTACTGATGTTAATTGTTTTGATTATTTCTTTAATTGGAAAAAAATATTTTTTTACAAATTTCATAATTGATATCATCATTTTGTTCAAATTAACTTTCTGAAGACCCCATATACCTTCGTGATCCAAGTCTTCAATAATTCTGTCTGGCATACTTTCGAGAAGTTTTCTATTAAAAATCATCAAAATCGGTCAATAAATAACTGAGATATGGCCAAAAATCTGAGACTACCACTTCATTTTAATCCCTCTTTCATCTCAAAAATGTCTATTTTTCTGATTTTTTCATTCAAATAAAAATTCGATTTGCAGAACGCCAAATCCGGTTTCTCGGTTTTGAAACAGACAAGTTTATAACAAAATTATAAATTAAATTCTTAAAAACTAAAAAATAAATAAAAACTGTTTTTTTTTTTAACATACTTGGTATAGGGTATATACATATGATTCGGCACAGCCGAATATAGTACTTTGACTTGTTTTTTATTCGTTGCTATTCTAAATTCTATTTTTATTGAAAATTAACTATAAATAAATAACATTTCGAACACGGATAATTCCCAAATATTGCAAACTTTGAATTTCACAGTTTATGGGTTAAGATTGACCGATTTGAATAAAGCTTCAGGTTATATCTGGATTATAATACTCTGAAAATAGTGTATATGCACATTTGGGTTACAACCATTCTACATAGTGTACTTTAAGTACTATTTTCTGGAAATAGTTGTTTTTTGAACCCACGGTATTAATTCAGATGATAAGCAAGGATACGGGCCGCTGTGTATGCCACTTCCATCTTTATAAATATTGATAATGATTTCCGAAGGTTATGACGAAAATTTTGGAAAAAAATCTACTATTTGTTTGTAATATTAAAATATTTTAAATAAAAGGGTAGGATTTGTTCAATATAATGCAAAATCTCCTATTCTATCTTTTCCTATATTCAAAAATAAAATTAGTGTTCGTTTTAGTCGAACAAATTTAAAAAATAATTTTTTTATTACTTGTCTATATTAAAATCTTACCAATTCGAGCCATAAAATTAAACAGAAATCAAAGTTTTACCCAATTTTAATTTTTTACCTTATAATAACACAGGCCAACGAAATGAAGGTTTGTGAAAACTGTTGAAAGCAGTTGGACAATTTTTAATGTATTTTTAGCTGCTGAAACCGAATCTGATATCTGTTTTTTTTCTATCACCCACAATTTTCTCGCAAAATCGCATAGAATATTTTCTTCATATATTACGAACATTTTGTACAATTTTAAAAATATACTTACGTTTATGGGTTAATTAAAAGTTTTTCGATATCATCATAAATACGGGTCTTCATTATATATTTTTCCTAAGTTTCATACAAATCGGTTGAAAACAAAATAATATTTCACTAGGGTTTCAAGAGAATTTCCCAACATTATATAGCTTGAGTTTGACATTCACAGTTTATGGGTTAACATTATACGATTTTACTATTAATTATTAACCCTTTAAAGCATTTGGAAACAATTTAATACTAAAGTGTGCTTTGTGCTAGTAAAAAATCTTACTGCTGCGAGCCGTTTATGGTGGGAAATTACAAAGTATGGGGAAGTAATGGGGAACTTCGTGTCAAGTGACCCAATTTTTAAAATCGATGTCTTCCGATTTTGATGAAAATTGCACCAAAGTTAGTATTATTGGATAATTGTCAAGAAACAAACAACAAAGCTCTGAAAGGAAATGGTCTAAGCTTTCTTATAAGCAAAAAAAAAAATAACTACAACAAAAACGTCCATTTTGAAAAAAAATAGGGAATAATGCCAAATATTGAAAAAAATCGTCTTCTAAAGTTAACAAATTATTTTTGATCGATATCCCACTCGTGTCCCATTATAGGACTATAAACCCCTTAAAGGAAATTGTATAAG